AAAAAAAAAAAAAAAAACAAAAAACAAAAAACTGATTGCTTGATTTCTTGAACTCAGTTTCCTCCTGTCAAGTTTGTATGGTTCAGAATTTTCAGTTAAGGATCAAAGTAAAGCCAGAATGAATTTGGGCAAGTAATTCATTTTTGCTATAGCTTCTCAGCATCCTATTTATGTCAAGCTAGAAACTGTTAAGACATCTTTGATAATTTGTTTCTAACTACACATTTACTTAATTAAAAACTGAAGCATGTCTGGCTTGTTTTTTTTTTTTTTTTTTTGCTGGCTCAGCCTGTCCTGAGGGTAGGGCTGGTGCTTGCAGTACCACGGATCTGACCTTGGTCCCCTGTGCCTGCCTAAGCCTAAGCTTGCCTAGGCAAGCACTTTAGACCTCTGAGCTATCTCGTCAGTCTTCTGGCTTGTTAATGTGGCAGAAAATTTGACATCTAAATTGTCTAAAATTTTTAGTCAGTTCATATTTTTCTTTTGTTATTTGTACATTCACACAGTCATTTGACAGTTTGTTCATCCTGAGGAGTTTTAAAAACTTAAGTGTTTGTTACACAGTATGGTAGGGCTTGCTAGTGTTCACTTGTCTTCTCATTCCTTGGGCAGGAATTCAGGGCATATTGTGTGTCAGTAGACACTAACTGAACATGTATAAGCAAAAAGCAAGATGCACGACTCGCTCTACCTAAAGCTTACCTAAGATGTGCTTGAATATATGGCTGTGGACAAGAATTAGAATTACCTTTTAGAGTCTGTTTTTGTCCTCGTTGATGTAGCCTTACTATTTCCTGTAGGCAGTTTCTTTTTTCAGTAGTTTGCAATGCAGAAGCATTTAGAAGAAATAAGAAAATTTCTAATGACTCCTGAGGTCATTAATTGAAGTAGCAAAAAACTCAAAAGAGCAGTCCTCAGATTGAAATAACAAATGCTCTTTCCCTGAAAACCGTTTAATTGCAAGTTAGAGTGAGAGTTTTTGTCTTTATTTATTTATTTGTGGAACCAGGGATTGAACTCAGGCCCTTGCACTTGCCAGGCAGGCGTTTATTCAACTGAGCTATCTCCTGGCCCCAGATACTTTTTGTCTTTAAAGTTCCTGTGGTTTGGTTTTCTTCACGTGGCCAGAGTGCAGAAAATAGAAAACTTTCTGAGCTCCCCGTGGTGGCAAAGGTGACAGCTGAGTCTGTGTCAGTGTCACTGGAGCTTTGCTCCCTGGATGGGGAATGCTTGCATTTATTTATTTATTTATTTATTTATTTTCTATTTGGAGAACTTTGTGACTTGACTGGGAAAGATGACTTTCTTTACTCTTTTTCCTTCTTATAATATCTGAGCATTGAAATAGAAGTAGCTTAGGTATATACCTATCTTTTTTAAAATGAGGATTTGGGGAATTTTAAAAACTTGATAGTATCCTTAATGAGTCCAGGCACTTCCTAAAATGGCATGCAATGATTTGCAGTGCCTGTCTTTCTCCCTGTGTCCCCAAATGAGAATGCTTTCTGACCCCAGCGTGGCAGTAGGGCTGTGCATTTCACTGTGGTAACTCTGATTTCACATGAGATTACTCCTGGAAAGCGGCCTGGCTTGTTCGGGTACTCAGTTTCCTATTTGTAGGCAGAGGTTTGCAGTGAAGAAACTATTCCTCGCCACAGTATACATGCGCTCTCTGATCCTCAGTGTCCCTGTGTTGTATAAGTGACAATTTTATGATGAATAAGCAGAATATAAGTACACTGCGTGAGGTTCCATGGCTAACGGTTATTATGGAACGCAACTTCCAAATTCATGTTCCTGAGTTAGTTTCGTCCCAGCCTTTTTTCTTTAGGGAATTTATTCCATATTTATTGTCTTGTGTTACGTAACATTGTAAGTAATCATTTATATGTTTCAAAAAAGGTAGCTTCTCTTTATCCCAGTTTACCTCTTTCAAAAGAAGAAGGTTCCTTTTGATTAATAGTTTATTTAGACAGATAGGTCAAGGAAACATTTACTGTAAGGGTTGATTTCTTAAGATTCCTTCCCCAAATACATAAAAGGAAAAAATTAAAGATATAGATTAAATAAATTAGTGGGTCTAGATAAATTACTTTGATAAATAACCATGCCATTAAGGAAGGACATTTATAAATTCCATTGAACAGCATAAATCTTAATCAAATTTAGGGTAATCCTTGTGGGTCATGTTGTGTGTAATTAGTCACAATGTAGCCCTTACTGGGGGATCTTTGAACATTAGCATCCGCGTGGTCCATCGCCCACTCTTACGAGTCCCTCCTTGAAGGTGTTAATTTTGGTGCACATTGTCTGCTTACGTGCTGCAATCTTTTTGGACTGATTCACCTTCCCTCGCTTTTGTGCAGCGATGACGTACGTCTGTCAACATTGGCCTTTATTGTACATTGTCTTAGGACAGTGGTAGTGTACACATGAGCTTTCGTTCATATAGAATCTAACGGAGTAGTAGTTCTTTCCTTAAACTTTTGAAAGACAACTAAAGTTGTACTAAACTGATGTTTAATTTTCTACTAATAAACTTATTGTATAAAGGAAATATTCTGTGTTTTGCAGAGGGGAAGATAATTTTACCATGTACTGAGTGATTAACATTTGATTTCTTTCCTTATTTAGTAGCTGTACGCAATCAGGTCTAGTCCTTTGGGCATATATAAACCGTTGGTTGTTACTAAGTTCTGCCTTAAAACAGAAACATTTGAGGAAATCTTCTACACAGAATGCCTGTGTTTTCTTCAATAATTGATCTTCCTGACTCTTAGGCATATATTGTTAGGAAGACTTTTGTGCCGAAATGCTTAGAGCCTAGTAGCAAGGAACCCAAAGACAGCAAATCATTCACTTACTGTACTTTTAGTATTGTCCAGAAAAGGACGAACAAGCAGATTTGATTTGGGGGCAAAAATTCTTAAAACTTCTATCAGTCCTATATTTTATGTTGCTCAGCGTAATGTGCTATCACCTGAAAAGAATGGGCCTCTGCCCCTTTTTCTTTCATGCAATCCAACTTCCTGTAGGTAGTGGGACTGGATTTTGGATTGGGGCTATTCTGTCCATTGGGACAGTCTTCAAGAAACTGTTAATGGACTGTTGTTTTAGACATTATGCCCAGCACCAACTTTGCCCAAAATCTTTGACTCACAAATGAATTCCAAATGAAAAGAAGTAGTTTTTAATAATGTGGATACTAAGCATCTTAATTAGTTGAGTGGTGCAGTCACTGGATTTACTTGAAGACTCTGGATATTCTGTAAGTGCAGATTTGTACAGAAAAGTTAAGTGTTTCCAGTTTGTCCTCTAGTAGGAAGGGTCTTCCATGCTTAGGGTGAAGTGGTTCTCCACAGGGCTCTTTGGTGCTCAGAGCTACTGATCGTGTCACGGACCGCAGGATCTTATTGCTGTGACACCAGTTGATGTCTGTTGTATGTGAGAGATGCCGGAGCAGCATCTCCTGACATTGCTTGTCACTGTTAGTTGCATTTAGAGAAACAAAAGGTGACTATTCCCCTGAAGGTAATGGACATAAATCCCCTTGGTTTACCACTGTAGTCAGAAATGTAGCTAATTCATGCGATGCTCACCTATATCTCAACCACATCTGTGTTCTGGAGCCAGAGTTACACACAGAACCTTCACAAAGGAAAAAAGAATAGCAGCTGTCTTCCAGTTTCTTTAGAAGATATGTATTTGAGTTCCTGTAGTTTTAAAAATCATAAAACCCTAAGTGCCTGCTTAGACAGGCCTGGGGACTGGGGTTCTATCCCTCGCACCACATGTCCCTGGGCACACTGAGCTGGCCACTAAGACCCGGCGTGATGGCACATGCCTGTAATCCCAGTGCTGGGGAGGCTGAAAACAGGAGGATCACTATGAGTCCAAGCTGCATAGTGAGACCCTGCACCAAATACATTAAAAAAAAAAAAAAAAAAAGTCATAAAACCACTTAGGCTTTTAGTTTATACACTTAGATTGCCAAAGGAGGGAAGTCTAGAAGGTGCAAACCACCGCAACCGAGAAGCAGTCCTGTGTCACGCACTCACACCCAGCATGCCTTCTGCTAACCACCAGAGGCTTGGTTCTTGAGCTCTCTTTGCCTTCGTGCCTGTGCTGTTTTGTGGCTTCAGGTTCCCTTTCTCCCTTTTCCACTCAAAATAATGTAACACCCAAGTGTGAATCTTTCGGCTTTCACACAGAGATGTGTTATATCTGTCTCAGTGATTAAAGTAGGAGTACCTGTTATTAAGTCAGTGAGAAAGAAACTTACAGCCAGGCACCAAAACCGTGTAACTGGCTGGCTGCATGGGCGCTCTGGAACCAGCCCGCTGGACTTCAGATCCTGTGTCCACCACGTGTGTGTGTGTGCTACGTTGTGAAAGCCAACTGTCTGTTTCCCAGTTTTGTCTGCTACTTCAGGATTGTCTTTGAGAATGAAATGATGTCATATTGTACATCCAAGGCACTGAGAAAGGGCCTGGCCAATAGGATATACTCACAGGTGTATCATAAGTGGTAAATTCCTTTGAATCTTTGTATGCCTGGTTTTAGGTTATGATTAGATGCAAAGAAAAAGTTACCTGTTGTCACAGGGGACCTGCTCACATGTGACGTTAAAGCTGATGAGGACGTCGCTCTGGAGAGCACATAGGCCGAGGTTTAGCAATCTGGGCCTCTCCACCACCGTGTTTGCTCACTCACATATTTTTTATAGCTGTTTTTGCTTTATAATGACAACTTGAGTAGTGAGAGATCCTAATATCTATTACCTGGACCTTGGTCGAAAAGTGGGCGTTCCTATGGTATACTCTGTAGAAACTGTGCAGGCCCCAGGAGGACTGCTGAGAGTATTTGGGTCCTTGGGTGACTCTAGAACTTGGCTTGAGAAACGATTGCCTGTGATCTTCATAGGGAAGGTACATTTGTCATATTTGAAAAGTAAAATCAGATACCTGAGCTCTGACACACTGCTATTCCACCTTAGTGAATTGGGTTGGAAAGAACATAGAGTTTACTCAAGGCCCACAAGAACACTGCTGCTGGCCGGGAACACACTGGGCCTAGGTGACTGCTGTGGAGTGAGAGAGCTGCGCCTTGTGGGCCTGTGAGGCTGTCCTGGACAGGAGCAGAGTTTCCATGTCACTGCGTTGTGAGACTAGAGGGGCCGAAACGTGTTCCTTGTGTTTGGCTAAAGTTTCTTTTTTTGAATATACTTGTCTGTGTTTCTGTCTGCTTCTCATAGTCATGAGATTGAGTTTAAAATACATAGTAAATAGATTTCATGTACCTTTCTTTATTTAGAAATTAGTGGGCAGAGAATGACAACTTTTGCTATGTACTCTTGGAAAACTTGTCCTAGAAAAGGGAGAGGTAGACCAGGGAACAGAGCTTTTCCATAATAACATTGTTAAAAATATAAAACTACAGTAGTCATTTGAGCCGGATTGTGCTTCCTCTGTCCTGTAGGAATGTCTGTGCTTAGTAAAAGAGCTCGTAAGCAGAGGCTGCAAAAGGAGTTAGAGTATTTGAACCTGTAGCAACAAAATGGGTTGTAAAGCACAGAGGGCCTTGCGTGAGCTCCTGGGTGAAAAGTGACTTTAATATTTTCTAATGCATTGAATAGGAAAATGCAAACGCTTGGCATTGTCTATTAATTTTTAATTTAGAGTGAACCATCAACTGTAAGAAGCTAATTTTGTGTAGGTGAGGTGAGTTGGATTTACTTCTTCTTTCTCTACAACACAGGCATTTCAGCAGAACCATGGAGGAACTGGTGCACGACCTGGTCTCAGCCCTGGAGGAGAGCTCGGAGCAGGCCCGAGGCGGCTTTGCTGAAGCGGAGGACCACTCTCGAAGTCTGCCCTGCCCTCTGAAACGCCAGGCCCGGAAAAGAAGAGGAAGGAAGCGGAGGTCGTGCAGTGGCCACCACCCATGGGAGACTGGGTACTGCCTAAGCGAAGGCTCTGATTCTAGTTTAGAAGAACCAGGCAAGGACTATAGAGACAGTCACAATAACAGTAAAAAAGATCACAGTGACTCTGACGACCAAATGTTAGTGGCCAAGCGCAGGTCAACCTCAAACCTAAACAATAATGTCCGAGGGAAGAGACTTCTGTGGCAGGAGTCTGACTTTGCTGTTGACAACCTGGGGACCAGAACTCTTCGTAGGAGGAGAAAGGTGAAGCGCATGGCGGTGGATGTCCCACAGGATGTCTCCAACAAACGGACAATGACCCAGCCACCTGAGGGTTGTAGAGATCAGGACATGGACAATGACAGAACCTACCAGTATCAAGAATTTAGCAAGAACAAAGTGAAGAAAAGGAAGTTGAAAATAATCAGACAAGGACCAAAGATGCAAGATGAAGGAGTAGTTTTAGAAAGTGAGGAAATGAACCAGACCAGTAAAGACAAGATGGATTATGAAGAGCAAAAGGTCTCGGATGAGCTCATGAGTGAAAGGTGAGTAGAAAGTATTTTACATTTTCTAAATATAAAAATGTTTGTCTGCAGTGTTTGTGGTTGAATGTATTTTATATTTTAATTAATTCTATTTTAAAATAATTATAAATTGTAGTAATGATAGTGATATTACTATTTAGCCATGGTTATATTTCCTTAAAATTTATGATGTTTTTGCAAAAGCAAAATTGCTTATTTGATTTACACAAAGTCTTGATTGTGTTATAATGACTTTAATTTTCAGCTACAAAGAGAAAAAGCAATAGATTTTCAGTGGGAAAGAATGTGCTTTTGGAATGCTTACCCTTGGATGTATAATTATTTATCTGTTTAATTATAGAGCTTTAGCCATTGGTGTTTTTTAGTGTACAATCCGTTAGTCTATTCTGATTCCTGAGCATCAAAAGTTTATACCACTTTGACATACATGTACCTTGTTAATTTAAAATGCCTGTGGCTCAGTAGGCATTCCGATTGCTCATGAATTGGAAGACCCAGTTTATGAGTAGAAACACCTGGCTTTGTCCTTAGAAAGCTGGAAGAAGAAATGACCTGTTGCCAGTTAGTCTAATCCACTCTAGGAAGAGTTTGCCTCTACGATAATCATTAAGTGCTGTCTGGACAGCATCAAAAGGTCAGTGGTCGTTTCTCTTTCATGTAGATTTGATGGTACTTACAGGAGACGAGAAGATGCTGGCGCTGCTCATCCTTTGAGATGCCTGGCCTCAAACCAAATGTACATGGATGATCCGGAAAAAATTCCGTATAAGTGAAATGGGAACTAGTATTAAATGATTGATTTGTAGGATCAGGATTATTTTATTCGTATGGACTGTAGAATATTTTCATTTTGCTTTGTTTTATCTTGCTTATGAGTATGGCAGACATGATTAGCACCTGACAGAGCTTATAGGATGACCCTTATTAGACACAGTGTACTAGTCATGTAATTCTTCTTAAAGAAGTACAAGATAGTTAAAGTAAAAAAAGATTTCAGGCAAGCTTGCAAAATTGTGATACCTGCTTTTCTTTCAAGAAAGTTGTTATTTTTACACAGGAATGACAATTATTTGTCTACTAGCTTGGGCCATTGTAACTGAGGACCACTCAGGCTGACTTAAAAGTAATTATCTATTTTTAATTCCTGCAGTACTGTGTGTTGGGCCCAAGTAAAGTTCTTAATTCTAGATAGTTCACAGTTAGATAATTTGTGCTCTGGAATGAGTACAAACCCCTTTATTCAATTAATTAATTAATTATTTCCTTTTCGATTTCCTTTTATTGATCTGCATCTTACAGCCTGTGCTTTGGAATGGAAGTGAGATGAATCCCCACACCTCCAAACCCCATTTATTTCTCTTCATTGTTAAAAAGAAAAATCCCAAGTACCTGCCAGGTAGGGTGAGGCTACCCTGCAGTCCATGTCCTGATTTTCTTTTTTCTTTTTTTTTTTTTTTTTGGCGGAACCGGGGATTGAACTCAGGCCCTTGCTCTTGCCAGGGAAGTGCTTATTACGCTGAGCCTTCTCCCTGACCCCAATGTCCCGATTTTCTTTAAAATTAATTTATTTATTGGTACGGGGTCTCACTGTGCATTTCAGACTTGTTTTGATCCTCCTGTCTCAGCCGCCCCAGCGCTAGGATTACAGGTGTGTGCCACCGTGCCTGCTTACAGTGGCTGGCCTGGCATTCGGTTTTGGGGATTGAATCTGGGTCCTTGGACTTGCCAGACAGGCACTTAGACTGCTGAGCGATCTCCCCAGACCCATGTCCTGATTTTTAAATAAGATATTTTTAGTCTTGAGTGAAGTAGAAAATGCTTTTTCCCTCTGATTTTAAACTTTTGCATTTAGTATTCCTTTGCTACTTATGGATTAGGGGCTGATTGCCCACCTTTGTGGGAAGATTGCTTGAATTCCTTCAGCCTTTTCTCTATGAGTTTAGTAACTGTGGCCCAAAATTTTCCTAGTACAAAATCCTTTATGTTTTCTTGGAGCTGGTTTTTAAGTAACAACAACTTTACTTTGGGTTGCTGTTGTTCTGTGTGTTTATCTCTGGCTTAACAGACTCTCGGGGCACCACTGTGCCCGTCCTGGTGGGGCCTGAGCTGCTGACACCGCCTGTTCCCGGCAGCTGCGTGGACGGGAATAGCCGGGCCAGCAGTCGTAGAAAGGGAAACTCACAGTGCGGAGAACAATCTCGAGGGAAGCCCTTCAAAGGGACCTGAGACTTGCTGGGGGTGGGCGGGCTGTGGGGAGTGAGGGGTGGCATGTGGAGGCGGAGGAGCAGGCTGTGCCAGGCCCAGCCCTGAGCGGGTGCGGAGCCCGTAGCCCAGCGGCCAGCACTAGGCCTGCGTGCCGAGCTGTAGTGGAGGAAAACCCATGCGCACTTTATCAGGCTGTGCTGGCCTGGGCGGCACCGCCCTGCCCTCCCCACTCACCTCCTGGCTGCCTAGCAGCGCGCGAGGCTCTGGATTTTGGCGGAGCAGAAGAGCGCCGAGAGCAGTTTTGGGAGTTGGGGTCCGTGGGAGGTGGCCGGCGTGTACTGGGATGCTGACGCTGTCAGATATATGGGTTTCTTAGAAAAAAACAGAAAGGAACAGGCGTTGGGATTAGTGCACCCACATATATTCAGCAAACACTTATGCACTGTAGTCTCATCTGAATACTGTACTACAAAAACTACCAGAAAAGGTGGTCATCAGCTGCTGAGGAGGAAAACCCTCCCATGCTTCCGTTCTGATTGCTGAACATAGCAGTACGTATACGATGTATATGGTGCCGCCAGCAGGGTGCCAGTGAGCTGTGCTGTGACCAAGGGAACGTGCTGTCAGCCTACTGGAGAAGTGTCACAAAGTCACACACGATTGGAAGTGCGGAAGCTGGTCTGGGAGGAAATCCCGACTGTCTTGTGTCTTTGGGACAGTGGGCAATGGGGGAAGAGGAGATGGGCATGCCACGTGGAGACGGGGCAGAATCAGCGCGCTGGGGTGGGCCGAGCTTATGTGGAAGCGCATCCACCGAAGCCTGCACGCCTGAACCGAGTCTGAAAATGGAAGGTGATTTTTTCAGATTTCTGTATAGAAGGTTGCCTTCTTGTAATGTGCGTGTGTAAGTGTGTAATTCACGCACTTTTTAAATGTAGTTTATTTATTTATTTTTTTAAAATTTATTTGTGTGTGTGTGTGTGTGTGTGTGGCCAGCTCAGCCCACCAGGGGCGGGGCTGGCTGGCATATGGTGCTGGGGGATTGAACCGTGGTCCCTGTGCTTTGCTAAGCTTGTTCTAAGTAGGTGCTTTAGACCACTGAGCCATCTCACCAGCCCCTTAAATGTAGTTTCAAGTTTACAGAGCCATTGTACAGACGGTTTGGAGAATAATGTATATCATAGTCCCATATACTCCACACTTAGTTTCCCATTTAATATAATTAAATTGTCATTACTGTGATAAACTTTGACACGGGGAATAAAACAATCTTGGTATTTTTTATTTTTTTACTTTTATGCATGTATTTAGTACAGGGTCTACAGGGTCTCACTGCGCAGGGTGGGCTCATCGTGATCCTCTGGGATTACAGGCGCACTTCACCGCGCCCAGCCTCAGTTGCTGTCTCAGCGCGTCAGGACCTGCACAGCATGCTGGGGATTGAACCCCAGTTGCTGTCCTCTGCTAAGCAGGCGCTTTCGTCCGCTGAGCTATTAGGCCGGCCCTTAATCTTGGCATATTTTAAAGTTCATATTTTATTAGACTTTACCTTTGTTTGAAGTTCTTTTATCTGTTGTATGGTACATTATTTTTAGTCAATCATTTATATTTTGAAAAGATAAAGTGGCTATATGTAGAATGGATTAAATGGATAAATTTAACTTACAAAATCATGGTACCAAAAAGAAAACTTGCACATGATTTATAGTCTAAAAATCTGAACCTTGAAAAACTGTAAAAAATTAATTGGTGGCCAGACTTAACCTGAACGTATTTCATGTGCATAAACATTTGTACAACTGAAAAATGTAATAGCGTGCCACCTTAGGTTCTTCTGAGGCATTTTCAAATATGCCTTTCAAAGTTGAGAAATTTTGAATTTTAAATACTGTTTGCCCTGAGAGTTTCAGAAAAAGTATAAAGACCTTCATTTGAGTTGTGTTGATGGGAACAAGAAAAAGAAAAATGGAAGAACATCAGTGGTAGTTTGGGCAGGTCATAGTGGAAAGCACAAGTTTCACCAACTTTTTAAAAATGATCTAATATTACTTTGCCAGGAACAGTGTATGTGTTTATAAATAAGATATGGGTGTAGTGCCCTTAATTGTTACTGTATTACCAAGGGTGTAGTGTAAGGAATTCATACACCCACTTAAGTTGGAATGAAAGATTCTAACCCAGAGCTCCTTGGAATATGCTTCTTGGTCAATTATTAGATTTTTTGCTAATATTAGTATTTATTTTAAAAAATCAAGTAACTGAAAGTTGATGTTTTATATTCAGAAAATAGGTGTCATCTCAGCCTTTCAAGAATTTTAATCTGGTCGGGGAGATAGGGCTTGAGTTTAAACCCCAGTTCCACCAAAAAAAAAAAAAAAGAATTTTAATCTTACATGTCTTGATTTACATATTTTAAAACAGATAAAGATGCCTCCTTTCTACTCTTAGGTTGCATTATTCTGTTAATGGAAATTATTATTTCAGTATAAAAAATCATCTGGGGCAGTTTTCTCCTTGTTTAAAATTAAAAATTTCAGTTAAAAGTAAAGTGTATGACAGTTTTGAAGAGCACCACTCAGTCTTTCAGAGGCCAGCCGGTGGTCCTGTCCTGTTGATATTTGCAGTGAGCTACCCTGTCGTGTGGCTGAGCACCGAGGGACTGTGTATGGGCGTGGCTTGTGCATCTGCTGTGTGTTTCAATTTGCATGTTGGGTATGAATCTGTATCAGGGCCCCAGACTTTCGTGGACGCCGTGAGAACCCGTGTGATTTTGACAGATGTTTTTCTTAAGCCATCAGTAAAACCCACTCCGTTGCCCAGAGTGGCCTTAATTGTGATTTCGTGCCTCGTAAAGTTTGCCTTTGTTGTGCAGCAAGAGTTGTTGTGAATGCCTAAGTGATACCTCCCCAGAGTGTCTGCAGCCCAGCCGCTGGGAAGCCCCTCGTCCTGGGCCCTTGCGTGTCATGGGGTGAAGGGCGTCCGAGCTGCCTTTGATGGCGACTCTTCCCTTTTATTGAGCAGTGGCGTTTCCGGCTCCAGCCGAATTGCACAGCGTAAGAAGGGAGCGGTGAGCGTTTGATGAAAGCAGATAATAAAACGCATCAATTTTGTCAGCACCTCGTTGCAGTCACATCTGGCTTGCTGTCAGGGTCCCATTAGATTCCTGGGGTTTTATGTGCCAAAAATAATATGCTGTGTAGTTAATAGAACCAGGGTATTTGCAGTTTGATTAAAAAAAAAATCATCTTATTTGCTTTCAGATCTTTGTCTGACTCAAGTTCCATGTCTGGGCTGCCATGTCTGTTTAAAATTTTACGACCAAGAGATCAATTGTTCTTTTGATCTGTTTCTTTTTCTTTTTTTTCTTGTTACAGTGATTCCAGCAGTCTCAGCAGCACGGATGCTGGCTTGTTTACTAATGATGAAGGAAGACAAGGTACTGAAGCACCGCCTTTCTCTGCTCTTTGGGAAGGTTCTTCATTTTAAAGTTTTGTTTATTACTGGTTATTTCCTAAGTTGATTGCTACACTCTGTATGTTACTGACTGCTTAGCAGGTTGGGCCAGCACGGTGGCTGGGTTTTCTGCACGCCACGGCCATGTCCTTTCCTCCTGACCTAGCGGAGATTGATTCTCTCCAAAAGCCAGTGTACAGTGCTAATGATAGTAGGGATGGGTTGTCTTCCTTGGAAAAGTTTCTCGTACCTGAGCTTTTCCATTTTGTTTCTTAGTAAGTTTGCAAGATCCTAGTTCCCATTTTCTCTGATTTGAAGTATGTTTCAAACTCTTTAAGCATTCATAAAGGTGGGTTTGTAAGTCATTTGTCTTTTTTATGTAGCTGTGACATTTATTCATCCTATCCAGTTTGTCAGTAGCTAAATGACTTTCATGAATTCAGTATTATAAACTGTTCAAGAGAAATGTCTTACATCTGATATTTCTCTCTTTGGAACTTCCTGAAGCTTTTCACACTTAACGAGCCGTATTTTGAAGCAATGAAAATATGCAAACCTCAACAAGATGACAGAATCCATTGTTCATTGGGTTAATTTCATTTAGTCAGGTCTGTGATGACTGTTGGCCCTCTTATACGCTAATGAATCACAAATGTAGGCTAAGACATGCAGCACTTACCACAATGCATGTCTTCCTTTCTTAAAAATAATTGAGACAACAGTATGTTGTGAGAGAAACGCAATAGGCTTGCTTTAAATTTCATTTAATGATATTATGAAAAAGGACAATAGCTGCCTACACTTTTTTCCTTGCTCTGTTCATTAATCCTGTACATACAAGTAATGTAAAGAGAATGGTCCTTCCTTCTTGCTTGCTTATAAATTTTGGTCTCAGATCTGTAGGCATATAACTTTTAAAGACCATCATCCCCACCCACAGTACTGGATATTGAACCCAGGGATATTCTGCCACTGAGATGCATGCTCAAGTCTTTTCATTTTTTACTTTGAGATAGGATGTAAGTTCCCCAGGCTAGCCTTGAACTTTTGATCTTCTTGCCTCAACTCCCTAGTAGGTGGGGTTACGGGCACGTGCCGTGGTGCACACTAGCCACAGACTTTTTGAAGTTGTGACCTTGCTGAATTGAATTGGTAGAATCTCAGTGGTGGGGTCAATCTGCTTGGTAATCTTACTACCTAGATTCTCGGTAAAGTGTAGGTCTCTAGCCGTGGTTCCTTTAACAATGAAATGAACTGATAGATTTTTGTTTTTCTTTTTTGAGGCAGGGGCTCCCTATGTAGTCCAGGCCAGCTTTAAACTCACTACATACCTCAGGCTAGCCTTGAACTTGCAGCGATCCTCTCGCTTCAGCCTCCCGCATGCTGGGGTTACAGGCATGTGTCAGTCGCCATACCTGTTTGGGGAGATTCTTTGAAGAACAACTTTTTGATAAGCTCGTCCGTCCACCTTTGGAAAGCGTTGTTTGGATTGGAATGAAGCGCTGGCATTTGCCGTGCACTGACTGTATTTCAAGCTGCAGTATACTTTCCTTGTGTTAGCTTATTTGTTATTTTGTCCTCTAATGACTCTTGAGCTCAGCTTTTTAGCACGAGGAGGCCTACACTGATAGGGTTGCAGCAGCCATCTCAGTGTCAGAGGACTCCAGAAGCCAGCTGGCATGTCTGACTCTGCCCACAGTGCCTGTCAGTGGCTGCTGGAATCCCTCTCTCATTGTAAAGCTGTACTGAGATTTAAAAAAAGAAGAAAACGAAGACATCTTCCTAGAGTAGCCTTGTGTTTTGAAGAATTACACTTTAGGGCAGTTGGTTTAAAGTTACTCCCTGGTTTTTATTATGTTTAAGAATCATGCTATTTTAGAAATTAATTCTTATTAGTTCTTTAGTTGAAAGAAGTTATGACGAGTTTTACAATTGCTTTTGATGTTTTTCACTCTTGCTTTACTTTAAATAAAGTTCTTTCCCATACATTTCAATTGAAGCTTAAGGCATTCTATTCTGGCTTTAAGAATTTTTGCACCGGGGATTGATCTCAGGACCCTGCACTTGCCAGGCAAGCGTTTATTCTACTGAGCTATCTCCCTGGCCCTAGTAAAAGATTTTCAAAATAAGGAATTTCTTTCTCGAAAGGGAAAAAGTGTATGGCAGCTACTTGACCCTCGGGGAAAGCAGAGCCAATGGTGGCTTCTAAGAACGGGAGACACAGTACTGACCGGTGTGCAATCAGGCTCAAGGCTGTTTGTCTCATTCTGAAAAGCCAACTGCAGCCTGCATTTTTGTCTATAAATAGCTTTTAATAAATCATTTGTTTTAAAACTAAATGTTGGTTTTCACCAAGAGCCCGTGTCAAAGTGAATTTTAAATTGATCATTTATTTAATGGTCACGCTGGTGAATGTTCTCAGAAGGCAACTTCACTGGATCGTAGTCTTTGTTTAAGATGCCCTGTTGATAATAGTTGGATGTAGTTTCTCCATAAACTGCAGTATTGTCACTTTTCATTTAAAATCAACTTTTTCAAAACTATTTCTTAATGAACTTAATTGGATTAATTTCATTTAGTCGCATCTGTTCATGATTGTATCCCCTTTCCCACTCCATACAAATCATGGAGTTAAGCTAATTATGCGCCATTATCAGCCATAAAGAGTGCAGTCCACAGTTTTCTGCTTTCTAATTCCTGGTAGATGATTAACGGTTGATTTTTCTTAATGTGGAAAGAGGAGTAGTGTAAGTGGATTTCCCTACAATTTTTACTGAGCTAATTGTTGTTTTCTTAATTTTTAAAGTGGCGAGAAGGCATAACATCTTGTGGTTTTGTTGGTGGCAGTCCCTGTCTTAGTATTCGAAAACATTACTTAAGTAAAGCTGTGGCATAGAGTTGTGTTTATATTTTATGTATGCAGCTGCCACATAACACAGAGGACCCCCAGTTAAGTGTGAATTGTCGCTGAGGAACAGATGTTTAGTACAGCTGTGTTCCATGCGGTACTTGGAGTGACTGACTGACACTGGTAGCTGAGGACCAGTGTTGGGTATTTATATTAAAAGTTAATCTTTTATCTGCAGTGCAAATTTAACTCACAACTGTGTTTTTATTGTCTCACAACTGTAACCACATGTGTGTCCGTGGTGAGAATGTTTGCTCTTTCCTCAGGAGATGATGAGCAGAGTGACTGGTTCTACGAGAAGGAATCGGGTGGAGCGTGTGGCATCACCGGTGTCGTGCCCTGGTGGGAGAAGGAGGATCTCACTGAGCTGGACAAGAATTTGCCAGACCCTGTCTTTGAGAGTATCTTAACTGGTTCTTTCCCTCTTATGTCATATCCGGGGAGAAGAGGTCAGTAGCACTTCCCAACGGGTGTGTGTGTGTGTGTGTGTGTGTGTGTGCCTGAGCTTGTGGTCCGCCCTGGAACAGTCACTGCATAGAGACAGGCTAAGGTGGCATTAGAGGACATAGCACCAAGTGGTGCTCAGAAGTGCTGGCCAGTGCGTATGCTTTCAGACTGTTGGAAGTTGACTTGCTTTTTGGCTGGGCTTCTGTGACTTGGGAAGAAAGACCTGTGCTGTCCTTACACCTTGGGACTAAGCACGAGGAGGGTGGCAGCGGCTGCGCCGGAGCTCCGCTAGTCTGCAGGTCTTTCAAGTGGGAGTTTTGCGCTTTTCCCAGTAATATTCGGGGTTTATCTCCACCGTGCACGGACTTTCGGTTCCCTATTGATGGGCTCTCCTGTGCACCAGTGGGCATGGTCCTCCTAAATTGAGTGCTTTAATATTCCAGGTTTCCAAGCGAGACTCCGTCGCCTTCAAGGAATGCCTTCAAAGAATGCTAGGAGGTCCGGAGGGACCCCGCCTTCAATGGTAGGTGCACTATTTTTTTTTTTTTTTTTTAATTGAATTCTCATGTTTGGAGATATTTCCATCTCCATGGAATAAAAAGCCACATCCTCATCTTTTATTTATATTCTAATGTTATACTTAAAAATAATCCATTTTTTTGTAGGCTACAAACTGGACCAGTGAGATTCCCCTATAAACCAAATCTTCTAATGCTAATAAGTTAGTTACGTTTTGAACGTCTGGGGAATGCCACCCAAGGGACCCTGGCTCCTGTCCTCTTCCCGGAGGAGACCACTGAAGGGAGAGCCTCTCTGGTGCAGAGATGGGCCGTTCTGGCTGGAGGACTGGCGCTTCCTGGCAGTCAGAAGCGCCCCTGCTGGGGGAGGCTGTGCAGACGTAGGCAGGCCCGGGCATGGAAAGTACTGTAAATTCTATAGATTATTTTCTTCTATGATTACTTTTTTACAATGAACCCGTTTATGTATTACTTGCTTTGCCAAAACGCTAACAGAAGCGAGGCAGCTAAAACTTTCAGACTTAGCCCAAGTATTTCTTAATGTTTAAATTGTGACTGGTTAAAGAATTACCTTTTACATATGTGATTGTTGTAAATAAAAACCGTGGTACATTGACATTTATCATCATTTTCAGAGAAATTGTCTATAACCAGCATTATTTATAATGTCTGAATTTTACTCAGGGTATTTTAACAAGGGCTAAGAGAAATAGATAATATTGATAATCTTTGGTGGAGTTTGTGTTCTGTTGTTGCCTTTCTACCTGGGTAATGTGTCGTGTATTGCAAACCCATTGTACTTCGTGGTGTGGTTTTCATTGTACTGCAGCCATCATCCTCCATCTAAGCTACGACAGTAGTTACTAATCTCTGCTGAGAGAATCATGTACTATTAATACTTTTATACCATCTGTTTGGTCAGATGCCTGAAATGTATCACAATTTTTACTTGGGCATAGGGTTTAATGAAATCATGTGCAACTTGGTATTTTAACAAACTGTGTGAACCATATTGTCATTGATAAAAGTGGGCGCTGTTCACTCATCTTAGAGTGGCAGGTCTGTGTGTCACTCTGAGTTTCTGCTGTACCTGCACAAGCTTATTTTCCCCAGTCGGGGGTGGGGTAGGGAATGTAACATTTCTGTTGATGGTGGACACCTATACTAAGTTCAAGCCATTCGAGTCCGTTACTGTGGTTATATTAAAATGATGAATATTTTTATTCCCAGAATGATGAAGTCAATGTGATTTAATATGTATATTTTTATATTGTATGGATTGTCAATTCAGCATTTAATGATAACTTAAACATGATTAAAATAGAAACTTAAAGTGGACCTTGCTTCTAAAGTTATTGGAATCTGAAAGATTTTATTCACAAATGCATGAAGCAGGAATGTGTGACATCTGTGTGTGACATCTCCTTTTAGATTGCTTGTCTAACTGGAGAGATTCAAAATGAAAAAGCCCACTTGAGTCTCTTTACTTTTGCGTATTTATTAAAGTGATGATTAAAGAAACAGTAGCGTGCTTAGAAGCTGTAAGTATCCTTGTTTGTGCCGTGTGTTTGGAGCGAAAATCCCTTTTCCCCCAATTACATGCACACTCTTGTTTTATGTAACAACTGCCTTTCACATCTGAGTAAGTCACTTGAAGACCTTGGCCTTTGAACTCTGCCTTTCCAGTCATGAATCTGGATGAATGCTATCTCGTTCTTGGTTCAATTTTACCTATTTTTATTTTTGGTTCACTGCTTGCTTGAGCATAGCTGGGATTTGTAGCCCATTTTCTAGGCTTATTGCAATCTCACTGTGGTATTTTATAGGAGCTATTACAACTGATAGGTGAGCTTCATGGCGTTGATGATACATGGCTTAACCGTATTAAAAGCTGCCTTCCTCTCTAAATTGTAAAAAGGTGATTAAGTTTCACTTGGTGGAGATACGCTATATATGTATGTGTTTATCACGGAACTAATACGTTAGGCCATAAACCATTTCCTGGTCTGTGGGTTTTTTTTTTTTTTTTTTTTTTTCACTTAAAATTTTACTGAAAACAATGGACTCCTTCAGGTTTTCTTTCTTTCAACCCTGAATTGTCCTTGTTTGAACTTTAAAGTACTATAAGGTTTTTTTTTTCTTCACTAAAAGCTCTAACTTGGACAGCACAGGTAAGCGTTCTAATTTGTGCTGATATATTTTTCTGATTTCCTGTGCTAAATTTTTGTTGGTTTTGCTTACATTATGTGCAACTAGTTTATAAATCACAGCCTCACAAAACAGTCACCTTTCAACAATATTCATGACTGGTGGTAGTAAGAAATTTGTCCATATTAGAGCTTCACAGTGCAAGGCCAAGTTCTTTTCTAAGAGAGATCAACTTTCTAAGCAAAGTCAAACACATATAGCTACAACCCACTAAGCAGAATGACAGTGAAGGGCTTCTTTTTCTGAAAGAGAAATGAGGACTGCATGAATGTCATCATGCGGTGTCTCGGGAGGAAGTGACTACAGGCACATCTTGCTCTGAAGCATCATGCACACCTTTCTCTGGGGAAATGTCCGTCGTGTAGTTGCGGGCAGCCCTGCTTACTTGGCTTGGTCATGTTCTGTGAAATCAGTGTGCACATCCGGCTAGGGATACGGAGCATTGTTCCTAGGGGAAGGAGAGGAGTGGGATCCTGGAGCCCCTGGGCTCACATTTTCCCTACTCGGTGAGTGCATGGCCTTGCTTCATGTAGGTTTGTGTTTAAGGACATTCACTGTACATCTTTGCCCTGTTAACAATGAACTCCTGTAGGTAGCGCTGCCACTCAGGCTTGAGTTAACACGTGTTTTCTCTGTCAGACACCCCACAGCCTTCTTGTACCCTCTGCTGACAGCACTCTCAGCTCTATACTAGAGGGCCACGTCATACAGAGAATCACCAACAAAAAGCATAAAGAAATGGTAAGCCTTGCACGAAACAGGCCACAGAGAGGACCCCTGTTCACAGTGCCAGAGGCTGAGAGCACAGGCAGAGTCGCCTCGCTGACCTCCTCAGGCCAGGAGTGTGGCTCCGCCTTCTCCGGGCTGGGTGAGTCTGGGAGTGATTGCAAAAGCTCCGGAGTACTCATTCTGGAGCCACTAGTAAGTTATGGCCAGTAGGAGGCTTTGCAAAGGGTGGACTCTTCACATAGGACTAGGATGGCTGTACTTCAGAGAGTAAAGACTGTGGAAGGAATTGCCCAGATTTTCAAGTCAGACCTTTGAGAATCTACATCCTGGCTCTTGCATTGTTACCTGTGATTACATTTTGAACCTTGATTTCTTCCTTTGTTAAATACAGACAAAACTGTTCAGAGCTGTGTCTGGGTTCAAATGAAATTATGCGCACAGAATGGACCTCGCCTGCATTAGACATGTAGTGCGTATTCAAGTAGATGGTAGTTATTGTTATTATGATTAAATATCAAGCCCAGTGGCTGGTGCGTTAAGTTGCATTACTAAGAGTCAAAGTGCAGAGTTTCAGACTTTCAGCTTATTATTTATACTTGATACAATGTTTGCTTTTATATGGAATATTTAGAGTGCTGTGTATCCTGGCCTTTCAAGTTTCTTTTATACTTCATTTATATTTGTCTTAGACCCCATGTTTAATATGATCTGGGAAAAATAATTTTAAATGATTTTAGCTTGGCAGCCAATGCAGTAAATCTCAGAATTTGATTGCAACCTGAAAAACTCCTCTACGTTTTTTATCCACCTCCCCTTCCCAATCATGCTATTTGTTTTTAAAAAGAACTATACCGTATAGGAGATTTCAGGCTAGACAATTCTGATTTTTACAAACAATTGTGTCCAAATACGGATATAGACAGAGTTGTGAGAATTTAGTTTTGATGGGAATTACTGAGTATCTTGTTTGGTAGTAAAAAAATCAGCTTCTAGGATGCTAGTTAGCCAAGGCTCCAATTCTCTACTTTTAGGGGAGCTAATCCAGATTTAGCCTGAACCTATATCCAGAATTTGTTCATAAAGCACGATTCCCATTGTGCCAGGTCACTTCTGGGTGATAGCACTTGGGAAGTGGAGCTGTATAAGCCCACGGAAGTACAGCCTTGCAGCTGCGCAGGGTGACCTCCTCCCAAGCATTGTCACTCAGCAGTGTTCTCTGAAGGCGAGAGGTGGCTTCACTTCTCTTTTGGAACTAATGATCTATCAGCAGATGTTGTATCTGTCCACTGAAAGATAGCCTTCAAATTGTGAGGATTAGGAAGTCAATGGTTCACCACAGTGCTGTACTTAAAAGGTAATGCAAGTTTTATACAAGAAATAACCAGGTTTTATATGGTTGGAATGAGAATACATAAAGTAGTAGTTGCATACGTGTTTATTATGCCAAAGCAAGTGAATGTGATTTGATAGACTTCTTATTTATACATGTTCATCAGGCTTAAAAACCTGGAAAAATAATGTGAGCATTAAAACTTAATATAAATTGTCATGATGTATGAAAAAAGGATACTGTTTACATATATAGTAGTTGTCCAGGGCATAATTTAGACCTGTTCAAAATTTTGAGTCAGTTCTGTAGGAGAAAAGGAATTTTATAGATATTTTCTTCTATGATGTCATAGCAAAATGGGCTCTGGGAGTGTCATGGTGATAAATAAATGGCATTCATGTTATAGAGATTGACTTCCTTTTTTTTTTCTTTTTTTTTTTT